ACAACAGTAACAAGAATTGTGAATTTCTGGCTAACAACAGTAACAAGAATTGTGAATTTCTGGCTAACAACAGTAACAAGAATTGTGAATTTCTGTTTTAACCTCTCCCATTTCTCTTCCAGGGAACTCCAGCTCTGTTCCTGATCCAGCTGCCCTTCCACAACAATCTCCTGGAATGTTGTGTGACAGATGAGAGGTACCTGGAGCTTTGAGCATCCCTGGGAAAACACCACACCATTTTTATTGATACCCCTCTTGCAGGAATGTGCCCCTGTTGATGGAGTAAACAAGTTACCCTTTGTGTCCTTAAAAAGGAAAAAAGCCCAGAACTTTCTCTCCTCAATTTGGTTAAAAGACACCTCATAGCACCTTGGGGATTTCACCTCAAACTTAAGGATAGCTAATTAGACAAGAGACAAAAACTCCTGCCTAAGCAATTCTCTAGAAAAAAGAGAAAAAAAGAAGTAATCACTTTTATGAAGTGGTTTATCAAGAGCAAGAACCTCATGCCCTGGCTGGGCTTATCTCTGTAAAGAGCTTTTTTATTTTGCCTTTTATTAAAACTTTTTGTTTCCAACACTGTCACAGGAGCCATCCTGCCTCTTTTATGCCACTGAGGTAGCTGAGCTGTCAAGGGTATGATGCTTATCTCTGAGAGCTTGTAAGACCTGGCTTAAAGAGAAAAAGCATTACCCTCTCAGCTGGGAAAAAGCCAGCTCTCTCTCACCTGTGGAATTTCCTTCCCCAGATTCTTTGGGATCCTGGAATCCCTGGTGGGTGCTGCCCTGTCTGGGCCCACCTCTGCCCTGGCGTTCAGTGAGTCTGTGCTGGGTGTCATTGACCAGAGTGCAGAGCAGGTGGCCAGCAAGGAGCACCTCTGGAGAATGTGGAGTATTGTTGTTCATCCTCTGACTGAGTGGATTAATCAGGTAATTAATTCATTAATCAGTGAATTTGGTTCTCTTCCCCACACTCCCACGGGAATGAATCATATTAAACCATAAAACTCTTTTCTTGTTGCAGAATAATGAGGTGAACCAGGGGGATGCCCTGGAACACAACTTCAATGCTGTCTACAGTGCTTTGTTGCTGCCAGTATCCCACATTTTTTCCACTCAGGGATTCCCACAGGTAACAGCAAATGAATCAGATTAATTCAAAACAATGTGAGATTTATAAAATCCCTGAACTCTCAGAGCTGACTTTGGGTTCAGTCTGCTGGATTTTGGATTCAGTACAACACCATGGATTTAAAACCCTAAACCTCCAGCTTAAAACCCTGAAGAATTCCCCAAGTTTTGACAGAAATAAAAAACCACAAAGCAAGTTTTTCTCTGTGCACAGATATTGATATTTACCAACTTTTTGTCTCTCTGTTAAAGCCAACTCTGAAATCCTTGCTGCGCTCTTGGTCTGACCTGTATCGAGCTTTTGCTCGCTGTGCTGCTCTGGTGGCAACAGCAGAAGAAAACCTGTGCTGTGAAGAACTTTGTGCCAAAATAATATCTGGGCTAGAAGGTGAAACTCCAGTAGTGAGTATAAAACTGATCATTTAGCAGATCTCTTCTTAATTAGGTTTTTTAATTAATTTACAATGTGTGTTGTAAATTCTAATCTGGTGATTTCTGTAGTGTGAAGTGGCTCAGGTGAGAAGCTTTAAAACTTCTTTACTGACAGGAGTTGGTAGAGAAATGAAAAAAGGGAATAAAAATAACTATAAAGGTTGCACATTCAAATAGTTAAGCAGATTTTAGATATGTCTTCTAATTAATTAATAATTTTTAATAATGGTTAATGAGCGTCATTGTGGTGGTAATTTGGGTTTGTCCAGGTGAAGTGTGTTTATAAATTCCACAAACCCAGGCAATGCCATTGGGAAGGAGGAACATGGAACCATCAGCCTTGTACACTAAAAATTAAGGATTTTACTCCTAAAGCTGTATAAAAGAGAGATTTTGAAAGAATCAGTGTTTTTGTTACCTAAATTGCCTATTCCCAAACTCACACCACAAGGGGAAGGGGATGAACATTTAGTTTGGTATAAAATCCTTGAAGCATGAAGTTCACTTTAAAAAAAATATTGTGAAAAACACAAATAAAATGGAATTTAAAAACCTGTAATTGAGAGCATTGCATCATTGTAACCTTGGATGCTGCTGTATCCTGATAAATAAGTGATACATATCATAAATATCACTTAAAAATCAGTAATTACTAAACAAGACAATAAATGAGAAGAAATATTGGAGCTTCTTTTAGCTCACAATGTCAGTGTTCCTTTTAGAGCAAGTTTGACCATATTTAGGAAAATTTGGATGGATTGAGAGGAGAAAAAAACAGCTTTGATCATCTTTTCTATGCACAAAAAATGATTTGTACTTTGACTATTAATGGCAACTGTAATGACTTTTCTAGCAACCAGGCTTTGTCCTTGAGCACACAGTGAGCCTTGAACCTTAATTTTATTGATTTCTCCTAAATGTGACCCCTTCTGCCTACCACTGTTTGCTGCTTTAGGCACTGTTTATGTTAATTATTAGATTAATTATTTTAAATTAATTATTAGAAAGCCCATCCTCAGTGTAAATGTGTATTTAAAATGGAATTTTATCAGTCTGACCTGATCATGCAGAACAGCTTCACCCACCTTTAATTAAAAGTTCTTTCTTTGCTATCCCAAACACCAAGGGTGGCTTTTTCTGTCATTGTTGATATTTTGCTGCTTGATTTTTGTTGCTTGACTTCTGGTTTTGCTGGTTGGTTTTTAGGTTTTGCTGATTGAATTTTCTTTCTGTTTCCTCCTCAGGTGTTTCCCATGCTGGAAGGTCTCACCCACCTTGTGTCAGTCATGGTTGACTGCATCAACTTTGCACCCTATGGCACTAAATTCCAGCCCAAAAACAGATGTAAGGAAATCCTTAAATCTTGGGGTTTCTGTGTGTGGCTTTGAGAGTTGGTTAAAAATTAGAGTTTAGCAGAAGACACAGGGTCATTGTGTATAAAATATTCTCTGTGTCCTATTCCCACTTAAACTGTTAAAGCTGAAGAAATAATTTCCAAAAAAGCATAATTCAGTAAAAAAGTAGTTGAAGTTTACTTGCCCCATGGGAATTTGTTAAAATGGTCCATGGGAATTTGTTAAAGTGGTGAAATGCAGTGATGGGCTGCTGAAGGAATGAAATGCTTTAATTGGGAATATTGATGAGGAAGAACATAATGTAAACTTGACTTCCAAATAAATAAACTAATAACAATTATATTTCACCTTCCCTCCTGTTCACTGTTCCAAAATTTGTTCTATCTGACGAGTGGTGGTTTATTTTTGAGTAGCCATTAAAACCTTAAAAGCAGAGTCTGACCAGCCAGAAACAGAAATAAGAAGAATAGAAATCAGATAAAATCATGCACTAAAAATGTGTTTTAAGTTGTTAAATCAGTTTTTAAACTTGTATATAGATTTAGTTTGGGAACAGAGTTCTTCTTTCATCATACTCAATGTTCAGCTTGTTTTTTTGATGTCGCTGAAGGAAAAAACCCAATTTTTACCTGCCTCTTTGCCCATCAGCCCCGCAGACTCCCACGGACTGGGCTAAGAAGAAGAAGGAGCCCCTTGGCAAGCTGAGCTCTCTGTTGAAGCTGCTGCTGCTGCTGCTGAACTCCTTCCACGAGCTGGGCAGCTCGGAGCTGCAGGCAGAGCCGCTGGGCGCCCTGGGGCTGGCCCTGCTGGCCGCCCTGCACGCCCTGCTCAGCCGCATCTCGCTGCCCTCGCTCCTCGGCACCACCCTGGCCACCTTCTCCCAGCCCTTGGCAGTCTTCTATGAGAAAACCCAGTCAGTGTTCCAAGGAATGGGGGCTGGAGTTGGGTGGGACAAAGCTGGAGTTGGGTGGGACAAAGCTGGAGTTGGGTGGGACAAAGCTGGAGTTGGGTGGGATGATAAAAGCTCCGCGTTTTCAATTTTCATCTCTTCGGTGTCGCTGTTGGACACAAAATCAGCACACAGAGCTTGGGAAGTTCCAAAGAGAAAAGAGCCAGTTTTATTCCAACATCTGTAATAAAATAATCCTGAATCCTGATAAATAAGTGATAAATATCGCTTAAAAATCAGTAATTACTAAACAAGACAATTTAAAAGTTCACTGAGACGTTATATTGCAGCTTCTTTTAGCTCACAATATCAGTGTTACTTTTAAAGCAAGTTTGACCATATTTAGGAAAATTTGGATGGATTGAGAGGAGGAAAAGCAGCTTTGATAATCTTTTCTATGCACAAAAAATTATTTTTGCTTTGACTGTTAATGGCAACTTAATTGTTGTGCCTGGAATGACTTTTCTGGCAACAAGGCTCTGTCCTTGAGCACACAGTGAGCCTTGAACCTTAATTTTATTGATTTCTCCTAAATGTGACCTCTTCTCCCACTGTTTGCTGCTTTAGGCACTGTCTATGTTAATTATTAGAGTGGGAAGCCCATCCTCAGTGTAAATGTGTATTTAAAATGGAATTTTTATCAATCTGACCTGATCATGCAGAACAACTTGAGCCACCTTTAATTAAAAGTTGTTTTTTTGCTGTACCCAACACCGGGGTGGTTTTTTCTGTCATTGTTGCTCTTTTGCTGCTTGATTTTTGTTTCTTCTGCTTGATTTTTGTTTCTGGTGGATTGGAGGCTGGAATTACCACCTCTCCAACCACACTACTCCAAAGATTAATCAATCATTCCTTTCCACAGAGAAATCTGTAAATATTCTATTTATCCATGAAATTGTGTGGGAACTCTTGACTCTCAAATATGCAAACATGATCTATCAGAAGGCTAAAGAAGTTTAATGAGAACTTTAAAACTTTTAAAATAATTATAAAAGAAAATGTAACACTTTTAAGAATCAGGTCAACACTTCAGAGTGACTCTCTAAGCATCTCTGCAAGGCTCCAAAATTTACTTTCCACCTGCTAGTAATTTGCCCTGCAGTGAAGATATTTATTGATAGAAATAAATACAATTTTAGGAAAAAATAAAATTTGCATTAACTTGTCAAGGAAATTAACAATGATTTCTTGATGTGCACTGAAATCCTGGATGTTTTTAAGCAGAAGGAAATACTGGGACAAACTTTGCTTGGTGCTTTTTTCCTGAGCATTGTTTTCCTTGCATTTATTCATAAAAATGGAGAAATTTTTTTTCTGAGCATCATTCTTTGAAGTTGGATAAATATTTTTGAAGGAAGACATTGGAAGGAAAAAAAAAAAATTTGGGAACTTGGAGGTCACAGGCTTATAAAATGACTTCAAAAAATGGAGTTTGCTCACATTTTTCTGCCTAATTGTACCTAAGGATTTTTTGTACATAGAATATATTTATTTATATGGAATATATTTATTTATTTATATGGAATTGTTTAGTTTATGGAATTGCTTAGTGGTACTTCAGCTTTTTAATGGCAGTATTTCAGCTTTTTAATGCAAATGCTTATGGGGCCTGGGAAATGTGTTTAAGGAGAGCATTTAGAGTGCAATTAGAAGTTAATTTATAAGAAAAGCTTTTATTTTAAATTAAATTTGTACTAATTACCACTGACTTTTCCATTAATTTCTCCTGAAGTTATCATGGCAGTATCCATGGAATTTAAAGGATGATCTGGGAAATTCCATCAGGAAGTTCTTTAATCCCCAACTGAGACTCATTTCACAAAGTGATTCCATCAAGTTACTCATTAAAACCAGTGTGCAGGGCTGGAATTTATTATGTGTTAAATTTTTATGCTTCAGATAAATGAGACAGCAAAGTAGAAATAATTTAAATTTGTTTTGGCAGGCTCCCTGAGGTACCCAAAGTCTACAGCAACCTGAACAACAAGGTAAATTTGCTACAGAAATCACTGGGCTTGGGGGAGATGTGGGACAGCAGAGTTCTGCTATTTCTTCTGTGTTAAAAAAAAAAATAATAATTAAAAAAATGTGATGAGGGTAGAGATTTAATTTTTAAATTCTTTTAAATTAAAAAAAATTAAATTCTGGAAGTGAGGAGCACTCAGCTCTGGGACTTGCATGTGATGTGGCATTTTGAGCTGCAAAAATAAAGTCGAAAATAAAGGTATAATTCAAAATACAGCAGATTATAGTTGAAGATTCCCGTTCTAAAAGCTGCATTTTGTTTTCCCCGAGTTGGAGAAGCTGCTGGCAGAGATCCTGCAGTGCCTGCAGTGCCACTGCCCGGGCTCCTGTGACTCTGAGCTCCTGCAGCAGCTCAGCCCCGTGCTGTGCGTGGCCTTCCAGCACAGGAGCAAACAGATCCGCCAGCAGAGCGCCCAGCTCTGGAACTGCACCTTTGCCAAGGCCTCCTCCCTCTCCTATCCCGAGCAACTCAAGTAAGAATCTCATTTTTAGCACTGATACCTGCACAGGGGGAGCTCACAAGTTGTGTTGTGCCATTCTGGTTCCTTGTGCCAGCTGGGGCTGCTTTTATTGTGAGCTGCTGCTCTTTTTCGGCACCTTTCCCCTCCCATAAATCTAAATTTTTAATTTTATTTTTTATTATTTTTTGCTGCTGCTCTTTTTCTGCACCTTTCCCCTCCCATAAATCTGAAAAAGAGCAGCAGCAAAAAAATCAAAAAAACATTTTCTGCACCTTTCCCATAAATCTAAATTTTTTTTTTTTAATTTTATTTTTTATTATTTTTTGCTGCTGCTCCTTTTCTGCACCTTTCCCCTCCCATAAATCTGAAAAAGAGCAGCAGCAAAAAATAAAAATACATTTTCTGCACCTTTCCCCCTACGTAAAATCTAAAACGTTTTTATTTTTTGCTGCTGCTCTTTTTCTGCACTTTTCCCTTTTTCATAAATCTAAAATGTTTTTTTAAATTATTTTTGCTGCTGCTCCTTTTCTGCATTTTCCCTCCTCCCATAAATCTAAATTTTTTTTTTTTTTTTTTGCTACTACTCTTTTTGTGCACCTTTCCCCCTCCTATAAATCTAAAATGGTATTTTATTTTTTATTGCTGAGCAGGTCTGTGTTAAGCCAAGCCAAAAAGAAAATCCCTCTGCTGCTGCCTGGTTTTGAAAGCATTGAGTTGTCTGAGGAGTGCAGTGGCCCCTTCTCTGACCTGGTAAATGTTTTGTTGGGATTTCATGGGAATTGTTCAGCAGGGAGTGAAAGGTCAGCTGGGATTTTTAATCTGATTGACCTACAGTGGTGTCATGTTTAGGATGATAAACTGCTGAGCTAGCACTGTCAGAAGACTCAGCTGGTTTTTACCACTTCCTCCATAGTAAATTTTGAGTTCTAGGAATTTATTTGAAATATTTAATTTTTTAAGTTGTCCTCTACATAGTTTACAGGAAATTTGTGAGTGTGGGATGGTTTTATTCTAGAAATGAACACAGAGTGGGTTTGTGAGCTTGGGAGTTTCTCCCCACAGTTCATTCAGTATGGTTTTGTGTGAGCAGATGGAGAATTCCCAGCTGGATGCAAAGATCAGTGGGATGGAGGTGAAGGTGGGACAGAAACGAGATTCAATTCTGGCACAGACGAGTGAACCCAAAAGTGATGGCAAAGACAAGTCCAGCAACGTGCAAGCAACACCTGCCAAGGTGAGGTGTTTCCAGAGAGGAATCAAATCAAATCCAGGATCTTTTCAAGACTTCAGGGATGCTGAAATGTTTTTCTCTCCAACCTGGGCTGCCCAGCAGAGTCAGAGTTAATATTCCTGTCAGAATTTTTGGGGAGGGGTCAGGCTGGGTGGGAGGGTGGCAGAAAAGAGCCTCAGTCCTCACTCTGTGGAGGCTGTGACAGATTTTTTGGTGGGCTTTGGGGTTGGCAGATCCATCACAGAAATGGGTCATGTCCTTCAGAAATTCCTGATTTTCAGTTCCTCTCTCCTTCCTAACCCAGGATTTGGGATTTTTATCTTTCTGCAGTTAAAATTAGAATTTTCATCTCCTAAGACAACAAGTGAGACACTTCTGGAAGAGGAGAAGTCTGTTGATTTTGTGTTCATTCCTCCAGAAACAAAACCAAGAATATTGACAGAACATCAGAAAGAAGTGCTTAGGTCAAAGAGGTCTGTCATTTATTGCTTTAAACTTAATGTGAAATGTCATTCCTTGAGTAGCTGAGCTTGCCATAACTTAATTCCTGTTTCTCACACCACCATAGGTAATTGATTCATGTTCTCCCATACAAGTTAGGAAGTTTAAAGCTAAGAGAGTTCCTTGCTTTGCTGTTTAAAAACAACCAAGTTATTCTTGCAATGGCATTTCCTCTTTGTATTAAATACACTCTCTCTAGTCTGATTGGAGTTTGGGAATTTGGAGTTCAGAGTTTTACTTGGGGGCTGACATGCAGTTTGAAATAAAAGATGTCATTTTTCATAAATCATGGAAATGAAAGGATTGGATAAAACAATCTGAGGAGAGGATTTCTTGAGTCAGCAGCACGTCAGGAATTAGGATATCCCCAAGACTCATCTCAATTGGAGAAGAATCTTTAGAATGATCTCTTTTAATGTGAGAAGATAATATTGGTGTGTTTTCTGTGCTTAGGCAGCAAAAGCAGGGCTTGAGGCAGGAGCTCCTCTGGGATGTGGGGAATTCTTTGCAGAGTGGGATCCCAGTCACAGCTTTGATTCCCCAAAAATAAAGATTTAATGCAGCTGAAAAGAATAGCCCTGGAATAAGGAGACAATAAATTCCAAAGTGGAGTCTGACTCCCGTTCCTGGTGTTGTTCCAGAGCTGACATTCCTGCCATGTACAACAACCTGGATGCCTCCCAGGACACCACCTCATTTTCCCAGTACAGCCAGAGCCAGGAAGATTCTTTGTGAGTAGAAGTTTTGGTCATTTAAGGGTTCTCCTTTGGCAACAGCAATTACTGATTTCAGTAATTCTCTTCTAGGGAAATGCCACCTTCAGTAGAAAATGCCAAAGAAGACCCTGCAAACCAACCTCAGGTAATTTCCCACTGTCTGATGGTGACAAAAACCAGAGTATCTGCAAAAAACATGAGAGGTTTTGTGATTTGTTTTCCATTCTCAACACCAAGTGAGAGAAAATTTAACCTCATTGCAGAGCTGTGTTCTGCTTTATATAATTTATTCCTTTGGGATTAATTAGAATATCATTTAGGCCAAATCACTGGGTATTTGATTTCAGAATGGGAGGATCTATGTGAGCAGTTTTTGGTCACCCATGTGCCTGTGCTGCCACAGGATTTTACTGGGGTAAAGATTGTAAATCCTGAATTCCTTTTGGGGAGGAATTGCCTGAACAGCTCCTGTGCTGATTGTAGTGCCAGTCAGACCAGGTGCAATACAGCAGAACTTCAAGCATTTTTGGAGTTCTTTGTTTTGGGATGAAATGGTTTTTAAAAGTATCTTTTATAACTCTCAAAACACA